GGGGCCCCGGTAACCCTATCCCGGGCAGGGTAAACTGTTCCCTCGATATTCTTTTCATGGGGGTCTTCTGAATCGCTCTTTGTCTGGTCCCTCACCCAGGACCAGTTTGTCTAATTTCCCATATGTGTAAATAGATTGGACCCAGCAACTTCAGAGTTTTAAGACTTCTCAGCCAATCAGATTGTCTCGTATTTCTTTATGGCTATTGTGTAATGAAGTTAAAAACCATTACACTGGATACAGTAGTGATATAGTTTAAAGCCTTCCCCTGCTTTGTAGCATCATTTTCAGATTCTCAGTGAGTTATTTTAACTACCAGATGAAAGTCAACGATTATTGACCCAAATTGTTTATAATCTAACAAGTTACTAGAATTAACTGATGAGACTGGTAATACAAATGTTCCCAAACTTTGCACAAAAATGAAAAAGTAATTTAAATGAAAAATAACTGGATTAACTCTCTTATTTCTAAGTCATCATAGGTGGTAATCTTAACCCTATATTTTGAACAAGGACAAAATTTCACTCATTATTACAGTCCAGAATGGGATATATAGTATGTAGCTCCAATTAATTTACCAATAGGAGAGAAGATGAAAATCTGGCAGCCAATGGTGGGAAAAAGTAAAAGCGCAGCACCAACATGAGGAGCTAAACAAGGTGGAAATTAAGATGCTTCTAAACCAGCCGAGACATATGTTCTCACCAGCATGTCCTGGGTTAGAATAGGGTTTGCTTCCAGCTGGATGTGTCCAGCACATTTCACCTAGATGATGCTCAAAAGGTCAGATGCACGAAGGACCTGAATTGGCTCCTTTTGATAAGGAGCATGACCAAGCTCTAACCCTACTTCTATAGGAGAGCCAAGACACCCTTCAGAGGAAGCTAATGTCAACTGTTTGTATTTGTGATCTCATTTTTTAGTCACTACCCAGAGCTTGTGGTCATAGGTGAGGGTAGGAAAATATATTGCCCAGTAAATCAAAAACTTCTCTTTCATACTCAATGCTCATGCTACAGCAGCAGCATTACTGCATATGTTGCACAAATCCATCTGTCAGTCTCCTTCATCATTTTCCCTCTTTAGTGAATAAGACTCTGAGACAAACTGATGTATTTGGGGCAATGATTCAGCCCCACCCCAGGGTAGACACTTTAACTTTTTCCAGATGAAAACAGGATTCAGACTTGGAGTTGCTAATTCTTATCTCAGCCAATTTATACAAATAACTGCATGATGACGCCAACAGAAGCAGCTCACCTCTCCACCTAAAAGTCCAAGAAATGCATGTTATGATTACAGAATCAATCATTAGCCTGCAACCAAGTGTGTCCTTGTGCCAAATGCACTTATGAAAACTCTCATGCTTATTATAGACAACCTGTGAACAACAAAGAAGTCCAGTTACAGCGCGCCGCTCAGGTTTAGGTCAGGTAGGATGTGTCTGTGAAGGTTCTCAGTCATCCAGGTCGTCGTAGTCTAAGGAGCTTGGAAAGAAAAGCGTCCGGACTTCTTTAAGTTACTTGAAGACATTTCACCTCTCATCCGAGAAGCTGCTTCAGTTCTAAGGTCAAATGGTGGAGAGTCCCAGATTTAAACCCAGTGGGAGTTTCCCCCCAAAGAGGGACAAAAGGACCCCCTGATGATCCTCTAATCACATGAGCCAAGGTGTGAAAACGGGTGTGGGTCACAATCAGCCAGGGTTTTGGGTGAGCTCATTGTGAAACCTGGCCCCACCTTATCATGTGATTTCGAAATCACATGATAGGGTGGGGCATGGTTTCACAATGAGCTCATCCTTTAAGTTCAAGCAACTTAAAGAAGTCCAGATGCTTTTCTTTCCGAGCTCCTTAGACGTCAGGTAGGATGTTGCTCCCGATCACACTCCACCAGCCTTCACTGTCATTGCTCACATGAATGCTGAGGTCCCCAAGGACAACAAATCTGGGGGACCTTCCAGCTATCAGCCAGGCACTCCCAGAAGGCTGTGTACTCTGAGCTGATGCTTGGGGCACAGAGAAAAACAACAGTGAGGACCTGTTCTCTTACCCCAAGGTGCATGGAAACATCCAGCTGAGAAAACTACCAGCAAAGAGAAGTATACCTACCCTAGTTCACTACTTCTTACTGAATGCAACTCCAAAGTGGAATAAAGATTAGCCCGTCTCCAGGATACTGCATCCAGAATTGAGCTGTGTGTTGAGCTGAGCCGAAATATATCTAGCTGGTATTGCTCAGTGTCACATATTTGTTTGTATGTTAATTAATTCAATTCACTTTTATTTATATACTGCTAACAACAATCGTGTCAACACACTTTATATAGTGTGACCCTTCATTATTTAAGAGAGAACCGCAATGACCAATCGCCAAGTGCTTACTCTATGTGCAAGCACTTGGCGATTGGTGGGAAGTAAGCGCTCCTTTTCAACAGGAGCTCTCTGTCAGGACCAGACTCATGGAGGGGCAGTAATCTTCAGTGACCAACTGAGGGTCAAGGGAAAAGAAGGGACAAAAGGTGAGGACAGATAGACCGCTAATAACAAACAGGACAAGACAGTTAACAATGTGCAAAAGTGCCATATAAACAAGTCAGGACTGAAAAGAAGAAAGAATGAAAGTCCAACACCAATCTAGACTTAGAGCAACATAACAAAGGGATTTTTGTTATGTTGCTCTCATTTACAAACAATCTAAACCTTTTAAAAAAAAAACAACAACAACAGAAAAAAATGAGTCCACAGAAGAGGGACTGGATAGTTAAACCTTGTAGTTCCCATTCTACTTTTGGAAACTCAAGAAACCATAGGTACCATAGGTATGGTAGGAGAATGTGACTGTGGACAGTTGTCTGTCTCTATGCGTACCCCACCTCTTGTGTTAATGTAGCTGGGATAGGATTCACATTTGGAAAAATGTGAATAGATTTTCCTGTGTGCCAGTTAAAATGATCATTTTCTCAGTTCTCTGCTGCCAAAACTTGGATTAACTGTGAAATAAAAACAATATTCTGATTGCAGAGGGTTAGAATTAGAGTTGGGATTATCACTGATAATGACTTTGACTTCTTAAGGTGAATATATGAATTAGGCCTGAACATTCAGGACTTCGTGTGTGAAAAAAACAAGCTTAGCTTCTGTTCTGGTTTTGGACTTTTTCTTGATCGCTTTGGCACAATTGTGACAGCAGAAAAGTAATTCTTACTACTGTTAATACAGTTCTCAAATCAGGAACACATTTCACCAACACAAACTGCTAGTGTTTCAATGCAAGATATGATGCACTTCTCACTTGAATCTCACATCTCATCAAAAGAGTTCAAATTTCAGTCAAATTACTTCTGTCTGTCTATCTCCAACATAGAAAAATGAAAAGCCTTTATGTTCCACACTTTTAATGTGTACTTATGTTAAACAGTCAGAACCTTTCCCTCTGCTTTCCAGCCATGTAGTGAGAACAGCACCCGGGAGAGGAGCGCTTACCCGCTCCGACAGCCAGGAGAAAAGAAGGAGTGTCCACCGACTGAAGAGACAGAGCCATGCAAACTCAACAGGAACTGCTTTCACTACACCTACAACATCACTGGTCAGCATTAACCTGTTCAGATTTTTTTCCAAAGAAGTTGGGATATTATGTATGTTAAGAAAAACAATGAATGCAAATCAATTAAATTCTGTACTTAGAGCAGGGGTCTCAAACTCCAGGCCTCGAGGGCCGGTGTCCTGCAGGATTAAGATGTGTCCTTGATCAAACACAGCTGATTTAAATGGCCAAATGACTTCCTCAACATGTCTTGAAGTTCTCCAGAGGACTGGTAATGAACTAATCACTTGATCCAGGGTGATATCTAAACCTGTAGGACACCAGTGTCATGGCTCGGCTGTGTGGCAGGCAGGAGGAGGACCCAAGATGCAGACTCACAGACACGGGGATAAACTTAAAGAACACAGCTTTAATGCTGGCACGGCAGAATACAGGAAATACAGAACTAACTGGGAAAAAGTAAACTAACACTCACAGGAAGACACAGGAAGATCCACACAACATGAGGGAGAACGCGACGCCGAACAGAGGGAGACGCAGACAGAAATACACAGAGGGTTAACGAGGAAAGTGGGAACACACGGGGAACACAGCTGACACAGATAACCATAACGAGACACTGACGGGAGACGGGCAGAGTCAAACAGGAAGTACAGAGGTTCAGACAGGAGGAGAGAGAGCACGGGGAAAAACACAGACATAACGGGCTGGGGAAACATGGAACAACCACAAAGGGAGACGAGGGCTCATAAATACAGAGAGGGCACACAGGGGGGAGAGAGAGCACGGGGAGAACTTAGACATAACGGGCAGGGGAAACATGGAATAAAACATAAGGAGAGACGAAGGCTCACAGATACACAGAGGGGCACACAGGGGGTGAGAGTCACAAAGGGAAAGCACTCAGGGAACACCACAACAGGGCAACTCAGGAAACAGAGCCTAAACAGGGAACTGAAATACAAAGATACATAAAACTAAGAATACTGGGCCAACATGGCCCAGGACCATGACAGTACCCCCCCCCACAAGGGCTGGCTCCAGACAGCCCAAACACAGGAAAACCAAACCAAACAGAAAACGACCCAGGGCGGGCGGCGGGGGCCCAGGACGGAGGGCCCGGAACAGGAAACAAAACAACTAGAAAACACAGGAGCACAAGACCAAAGTTCAAAGAGAGTTCAGGGGGCCGACCCAGAGCCCACAGGCACAAGAGTTCACGGGTCACACGGTCGGGGGGCCGACCAGGCGGGTGGCACAGGTGACAGAGCTGGTCCGGAGGCCGACCGCACGGAAGGCAGCGGCGGCGGCGAAGGACGACGACGGAGCAGTTCAGGGGGCCGACCGCGCGGAAGGCAGCGGCGGCGGCGAAGGAGACGACGGAGCAGCTGCGCCGGGGCCGGGGCGAAGAGCGCTGGGCGCCGAAGGCAGGCCGAGGGAGCGACGAGGGGCCGCCGCGCGGAAGGCAGCGGCGGCTCTCCAGTCTCAGGCGTGTAGGCCGAGGCCCGGTGGGCCTAGGACCAGACGAGGCAGGACCAGACGAGGCAGCAGACCAGACGACGTGGCATGGGGGGGACCAGCGAGCACTAGGCTGGACCAGACGAGGACGAAGACTCGGAGGCTGGACCAGACGAGGACGAAGACTCGGAGGCTGGACCAGACGAAGAAGACTCTGAGGCTGGACCAGACGAGGACGAAGACTCGGAGGCTGAGGGCCAGACGAAGACTCGGAGGCTGGATGCACAGACGAAGCACAGGCTGGAGCTGCAGCAGACGAAGCACAGGCTGGAGCTGCAGCAGACGAGCACAGGACAGCAGGCTCACGACAAGCTGAGGCTGCAGCAGACGAAGGCTCTGAGGCTGCAGCAGACGAAGGCTCTGAGGCTGCAGCAGACGAAGGCTCTGAGGCTGCAGCAGACGAAGGCTCTGAGGCTGCAGCAGACGAAGCACAGGCTGGAGCTGCAGCAGACGGTGGCTGGATGGGCTCCTCGGGCCCTCCAGCGGAGACAGGAGGCTGAACGGGCCCTCGGGCCCTCCAGCGGAGACAGGAGGCTGAACGGGCCCCTCGGACCCTCCAGCGGAGACAGGAGGCTGAACGGGCCCCTCGGACCCTCCAGCGGAGACAGGAGGCTGAACGGGCCCCTCGGACCCTCCAGCGGAGACAGGAGGCTGAACGGGCTCCTCGGGCCCCCCAGCTGACGAGGTAGATGGCGGCGTGGGAGCCGCGGAGTCCTGGATGAGCTCATCCGAGCTCCCAGCAGGAGCCGATGCAGAGCCAGAGAGATTTGGGACCCCTGGCTGAATGTTAAGCTGACCAGCGGACCGTACTGCCATCGGGGACTGGGCCACTGGAGACGCGGGGAGCTGAGCTACTGGGGCCTGCGCTACAGGCGGCACTGGAGCTACTGGGGCCTGCGCTACAGGCGGCACTGGAGCTACTGGGGCCTGCGCTACAGGCGGCACTGGAGCTACTGGGGCCTGCGCTACAGGCGGCACTGGAGCTACTGGGGCCTGCGCTACAGGCGGCACTGGAGCTACTGGGGCCTGCTGACAGGTCGGCTCTGGAAACTGAGCTGAAAGTGGCTGCGGAGTAGCTAACCGAGCTGAGAGTGGCTGCGGGGTAGGTGACACTGGGAGCTGAGCTACTGGAGACCCAGGTGACACTGGTGTACTGGGGTGAAGGCAGCGAGGATGCAGTCTCTCTCTTAAGGGAGGATCGAATGATTTAGCGATAAATCTTGACGGGAAAAGATGCCGATGCTGAGAATACCAGGCAGCGGGGGCTTCCAGGAGGGTAGCTGACTGAGCTGTGGGTGGCTGCGAGGGAGCTAACTGAACTGAGGGTGGCTGCGAGGGAGCTAACTGAACTAGGGTGCTGCGAGGGAGTAACTGAATAGGGCTGCACAGGCGATAAGCAGCTCGCTTTGACATCCGCCACACAAGACACAGCCCCTGAATGAACAGTCATAATGTCTGGAAAAGACACAGAGTCCTCACTCACCACAGTAGGTGAATTAGAAGTCCGAATGTCCGGCTGTGGGGTGGTGCGACGGCGGCGTGAACGCCGTTTCCTTCGGGATGGGGGAGGAGCTGAGCCGGGCCGCGAATCCTCCAGCGGACCGGACTGAACGTCCTCCGACTCTTCCCACCGGAGAGGCAGTTCCGGGCGGATGCCTATGGTGGACACGAGGAAGTCCCGGATGCGGGGGTGTAGCGCGCCGAATAACCAGGGGAGTCCGGACACCATCCGCTGTAGACGGCTGGCTAAGATCTCCCGGTATCCTCCCCTTGGCAGCGTCAACCACTCCTGACAGTCATATTCCACCGTGTAAATTAGATCCTCACGGAGCTCAGCGGAGGGGTTGTGAACTGCTGGGTCCATGTCGTGGTCGCGTTCTTCTGTCATGGCTCGGCTGTGTGGCAGGCAGGAGGAGGACCCAAGATGCAGACTCACAGACACGGGGATAAACTTAAAGAACACAGCTTTAATGCTGGCACGGCAGAATACAGGAAATACAGAACTAACTGGGAAAAAGTAAACTAACACTCACAGGAAGACACAGGAAGATCCACACAACATGAGGGAGAACGCGACGCCGAACAGAGGGAGACGCAGACAGAAATACACAGAGGGTTAACGAGGAAAGTGGGAACACACGGGGAACACAGCTGACACAGATAACCATAACGAGACACTGACGGGAGACGGGCAGAGTCAAACAGGAAGTACAGAGGTTCAGACAGGAGGAGAGAGAGCACGGGGAAAAACACAGACATAACGGGCTGGGGAAACATGGAACAACCACAAAGGGAGACGAGGGCTCATAAATACAGAGAGGGCACACAGGGGGAGACACGGAGACGCACGGGCAGGGAAACATGGAAATAAAACATAAGGAGAGACGAAGGCTCACAGATACACAGAGGGGCACACAGGGGGTGAGAGTCACAAAGGGAAAGCACTCAGGGAACACCACAACAGGGCAACTCAGGAAACAGAGCCTAAACAGGGAACTGAAATACAAAGATACATAAAACTAAGAATACTGGGCCAACATGGCCCAGGACCATGACAACCAGCCCTCGAGGCCTGGAGTTCAAGACCCCTGATTTAAAGACACAGCGTAGTGCAGTGTTTAGCACTGCAAATTCAAAGCAAGCACATCCTGGGTTTAAGCTGTTCAGTGCCCTTCTGTTTAAAGTTACCGTTTCACTTTGTGCCTGCGTGAGCTTTTTCCATGTACTGTATGTTTAAATCCTCATAGGTGTCAATGTGAGCATGAATGATTGTCTTTTTGTGTTGGCTTTGCAAAAGACTTGCGATCCTTCACTGAGTGTACATCCAGCATGCACGGATTAATTAAAGGAAGGAAAACAGAATGTCGGTTGTTTAAACTGAAACTTTGGCCCGGTCATTAAAAAGTATTTTATGGGTCAGAAATAAACAACTTGGGGTTAGTATCCTTCCCAGGCATACAGACTGAAGCAGCCAGAGATTGAACCACCAACCTTCAGACTGTAGATGACCTACTCTCCTACCTCCTGAGCTACAGCCACCCCTGTTATGCTGACCTTTTACTGTGTCTCTTCAGAATGGAGTACCTGTCAGCTCAGTGACAAAGCAGTATGTGGAAATGGATTCAAAACCCGCATGCTGGACTGTGTGCGTAGTGATGGTAAATCTGTAGACCTCCTCTTCTGCAAAGAGGTGAGATGTTTGGTACTGCTTGCCTTTTAAACCTTTGTAAATGGTTCTGTTTGAGTTCATGAAATACTAATGATATTTCTTTGCAGCTTGGTCTGGAGAGAAAGTGGCAAATGAATGCATCCTGTGTTGTGGAGTGTCCTGTTAATTGCCAGCTGTCTGACTGGTCACCATGGTCTGGCTGTAGTCACACATGTGGACTGGCAGGTAAACAAATCCAGGGAAGAATTGGAATTAACCAGTTACATTTTTCGCAGTAGTGTTTTGCTACTATGTGCTAATGTTTGAGTCCAACAGTCTCTAATCATATATGTTTCCTTTTAAGTTTTGTGTACTTTATCTGCACTGCACTGTGTTATTTTACAGATAGAAACTGTTCACAGCTCAGCTGCTCTAACAGGAATGATAAACACTGGAATAAAAGTGAATGTGGGAATTACAAACCTTTACTTCATGTAGATTGTCCAAATGCTTTACAAATGTTCTCTTAGCTTGGACTTGCTGGTTATAGTGCAGGAGACTTCCCCACCTGGTGACTCCATTGTCCTACTTCATCACATGACAGTGAGACCTGGAGTGGTTTGGGAGGAACGGCCTGCCTCGAGTGGTTCAGATTTTTGTGCAGTTTGTGACAGAGGAATGTTCATGTGCACATGGCACTAGTACGCCCTGGGTAAATGATTGATTCTGGAAATAGTTTTTTTGAGAGTTTTTGAGAAGCTAAGCATTTAACAGATCAGCATCTAGTAGTTAGTTAGATCAAAAGGCAGGGTAGGATGGTATATCAGTATAGTACCAATTGCCTTCCTAGTGAAGTTAAATAAATCTTTAAATTCCTCAAAAAAGCTGCCTTTGAGTTTGGTCCTGCCCGAGAGTGCTACACTTTGGGTCCTGTCCTTCCTTGCCTCATACAGCGTTACATGACATTACATAGCAAAGGAAGAGGTCTTTATGTTTCGAGTAATTAATGTTATCCTATTCTTTTTTACCCAACCATTAATATTTGAATTTTTCTCATTTATCTGCTTTTTGGCAGGCAAACTGTGGAGGAGACGGACAGTGATCCAAGCTCCGCAGGGTGATGGGAGGCCATGTCCATCCCAAATGGAACAGTGGAAGCCCTGCCTGGTGAAGCCCTGCTACAGGTGGAGATACAGCGCCTGGTCTGAGTGCAAATCTGAGGTCAATTAGCCTTCCTCTTCTTCTTCAACATATTTACCAGAATAGTGAAACACTGTATATAATTTTCACTAGTCACTAATTTTACTAGCGTAAAAAATATTATATAAAACCATTAAAGTCATATTAAACCATCCTGACATACTCACCTGGATGAGGAGGGATAGTCCAAAATGAAGGTGTCTCACAAGATGCTGTCATCAAACTTTCCAGAAGACTGACTTTGACCAACATTGTTGTGGCGTTTGCCATTTCACTATTTAGTAAACCCTAAAAGACATGCTGTGACTCTTCCACAGCATGTCTTTATCCTGTCTTCCTTCTCTCACCATAACCGGTTGCAGCAGATGGCCCCGCCCCTCCCTGAGCCTGGTTCTGTCAGAGGTTTCTTCCTGTTAAAAGGGAGTTTTTCCTTCCCACTGTCGCCACGGTCTACCTTACAATATGAAGCGCCTTGAGGCGACTGTTGTTGTGATTTGGTGCTGTATAAATAAAAGTGAATTGAATTGAAAATTTATACTTAGTATTCATAAGAACTTTATAAATGAAAAATGGGACAATTAACATGACAAATGTCTTGACCAGTGTTGGTCAAGTTACTTAAAAAAAGTAATCAGTAACTAATTACTGATTACTTCCCCCAAAAAAATCCCGTTACTTTACTGATTACTTATTTTCAAAAGTAATTAATTACTTAGTTACTTAGTTACTTTTTAAAAACACGATTTACAACCTGAATAGGTGATAAAGCGATAGATCTTTCAGCCCAATTCTACTTTTTCTGCATAATCCATCATACAAAATGTAATCAAATGGAAAAGTCTCTTTTTTTTTAACTTGTTTTATTAGTTTTAATCTTTTAACTTTATGCATCAAGCAAAAATTAAATTACATGCAACATTCTCTGACTTGAATAAATTAGTTTAACATTTAAACCTATTTTCTACACATTCCAGCACATAGAATAAAATATTTTTTGTGTTTACACTCAGTCTTTCAAATAGATGCAAGTAAAACACAGCAGAAAATAAATCAAATCAGCGGTCCTGTTGCTCTATTTTCACCTGTAAAGCAGCAGTAGGGCAGGCGGAGGTTTACCCTGGTGCAGGTGTGGGAAAGTAACGGTAATCTAATTACCGTTTTTGCAATAGTAATCCCTTACTTTACTCTTTACTTGAAAAAAGTAACGAGTAACGCGTTACTGCCCATCTCTGGTCTTGACTAATTATTATTATTATTATTATTATTATTATTATTATTATTATTATTATTATATGCCTCTCCTTTTAAATTACCATGTTAACCTGAAGGATATCATTATTATTATTATTGTTATTATTGTTATAATAGTTTAATATTTAACTCATTTCAAACAGCAGGTGACCAGTAGTACCAGTACCAGTAGTTTGTTACCATATTTAGAATTTTTTTTAAACTTACCAAGGACTAACACAAATGGTTTAAAATCATTTGAAGGCCTAGTAGCTGAATGTGATTAAAGCTACCAGCTAGCTGACTGGACTACAGAAGTTAAATGTAGATTGATATTGTATCCATATTTAGTGTAATTCTGTTTGCTTTTCCATTAGGGAGCGAGGTGTGGAGAAGGTCTGAGATTCAGGAATGTGTCGTGCTTTGTGTCAGACGGTTCAGGTCGACAGGATGGTAGTGCGGTGGATGATGAACTGTGTGGAGATCTGGAGCCCTCAGTAGAGGGAAACACACAAATAGTTCTGCAGGAACCCTGTACTGTACCCTGTCCAGGTAGGTTGTTGTTGAATCCAACAGCCTCTTTGTTAATAAAGAGCAGTCACTTGCTGAGGTAACAGGAACTTGTCTGTTACTATTGGACCCAAACCCAAGACTATTCACACAAGTATTACAGTTAATGTGCTTCACTATTAAATACACTGACTAAATTGTTGATATTGAAAGAAATTCTGCTGTGCTGGTTTTAAATATTTCATCATCTGATGGATTCTGACTTTTGTATGTAAATAAGGAGCCTTGCTTACACACAATAGTTAATCACAGAATTCCACAGGGTTCTGTGCTAGGACGTTTTCACATTATACATCACCCCCAGATAATGTCATAATTCCTCTGTACATAGTTTGGATAGTTTTGACCTTCAGTTCTATCTTGACATTGTCCTTCAGGATATGACTTTAAATTAGCATATATATATAAATACTATAACAGGAAACATTGCCTCAGAATGATGGTAAAAAATGTCCATTTGTTACTTCTTGGGAAGATGACTTCAATTATTTATCAGAATGTTCTAAAAGCCTTTATTTGAGCTCTCTTTTCCTGTCAGTTCTAGTGCTGTTACTTAATGCTAATCATTGAATCTTTCTCTGCCACGAGCCGAGTTTAGTGCAAAGTAAGAGATGATATTCAGCTGCGGGTAATTTACCAACATAGATCCCTTGAAGGACTAAAATGAACCAGAAATGCCTGATTGACAAGTTTATTTTTACAGTGGGTAAATGTCTCACTTTTCTAGCATCTGCTCTTTAATCTCTGCAACGTGTCATGGTCTGTGTGCGGGCAGGCAGAAAAGAACCCAATCGCAGACTCCAAAACCCAAAGACAAAAGCTGAACCTAAACAGCTTTATTGCTGTGCACAAACTGAACTGAACTGGGAATACAAAAACTAAACTAGTAGGCAGGCAGACGGAACACACAGCGAGGGAGGATGGTGAGCAGACGTTAACGATGCGACACTGACACAGAGAAACACAGGCCTTAAATACACACTGGGATAACAAGGGCATGAGACACAGAAGGAGAGCACAGCTGGGACTAATCAAAGCTGACTAGACAAGGGGAAGCAAAACCAGACACACTACACACAGGACAGAGACTATCAAAGTAAAACAGGAAAAACAACACCAGGTATGCACAGACACGAGCTTGACACAAGACCTCAGACATAGCAACAGGGAGGGAACACACGGGCAGACAGAGCCAAAACATGAAGAACTCAAAGTCTAAACCCAAATACATAATCAGAATAAACCAGTGCATAGTATGATAATAATGATAAACACAAAACGCTGGGTCAAATGACCCAGGACCCTGACACAATGCCTCCTCGACACACGATGACTTCCACTATATCAAGCAGGAAAAATGAGACCAGCTGTTTTGATTTCTTTCGTAAATCAGTTTGCAAACTTGATTTAAAGATTCTCCTGGAAGGAACCCCCAGAAATAGGTATAAATACTTGTAAATATTTAATAACCACTGTATAGTGCCTTTCTAAACATTATGGATGGCTACCATAATGCTCATTTTAAAGAATGTATAATGTGTAAGATTTGTGTGCCATTTCATTCACGTTTTATTTTCCTTTAACTAGCTTAATATTACATTTTAACAGCACATGATATAATCTCCCAAAGCCATGAATAGGCTGTGGATATGCACTTAACACTTGAAATTTAACACTTAAAACTTTAATTATGGATTCTGGATGCCTGGACACTGTGTTTATCACTAACTTAGTTTTTACATCATACAGTGATGTTGCATTTTGGTTTGCTGATTAACTGATTTCTGTTCTGTAGGAGAGTGCTACTTGACAGACTGGACTGTTTGGAGTTCATGCCAGCTAAGCTGCATAAATGGAGCTGACCTGGGCTTCGGTTCAGTCCAAGTTCGATCCAGAGCCGTGGTGGCCCAGGATCCAGAGAACCTGCTGCAGTGTCCAGAACAAGAGCTTGAAGCACGACCGTGTACAGGTCACAAAGGATGTTTTTTAATGTGAACTGCAATTAATTCAGACATTTAAGCACTGATATAGTTTTGCCCCTTTTCCTGTTTTTTTTCTTACACTAAGAAATGTAAGTGTAAGCTACACAAAAAATAAAAGTGGTGAAAAGGACCGACAATATTCATATAATTTAAATTATTATTTAATTATTTAAATTAAAAAAAACATTTTTTTAAACAAAAACATCTGATTATATCCTTTCTGTAGACGGTGAATGTTTTGATTACAAGTGGAAATCTGGACCGTGGAGAGGCTCGTCTCGGCACGTCTGGTGTGAGCGTTCAGATGGTCTCAATGTCACAGGTAATAAGAACGTGTTTACTGAGTGAACAAATGAACTAAATGAGCTACAGTCTCCCTGTCAGTTCTTTTTTCTTTTCCCAATTCAGTGCCTGTTCTTTAAAACCCTCGATTTACTGAATGCTCAAATTGCTATTGTAGACCAGTTTACAGCCTGATCTCAGACAGAGCAGATGTAAATGTGAGTGTGTGCATGAGTTGCCGCAATAAATCTTTGACATGGGGATTTGCTCTGTGATTAGCAGGGTGACAATGTGCATAAGCTTTCCTAAAACAGTCTTCCCCACAAGCATTACTGGAAAGAGAATTTGAGATCCAGATAACAGATGTGTTTCAATCCCCAGCAGTGCCACAGTGATGATTGTCCATCACCATCAGCACTTTGCATCCACTTCTTTTCCAAATAGCCAATTCATTCATATTTTTGTATACATGAAGAAATATCAGTAGATCTGATGCCCCAGATGCTGTGCTGGCCCTTGCATCTGTGATTGGCACAATGCACATTGTTATTCCCTTTTCATAGATTTTTGCTTGTAAGCAGTGGTATTCCTTTCATGAATATTAATATTGATTTCTCCTCCAGAGCCCACAACCTAATAAATATTCAGTAGCCTTGCTGGATCCCCATGCTTTTGCAGACTTGCATTTTTTCTGTCAGTGTCAGTTGCACACTGTCTACATCATTCCCATTACTTTATTCTAAGCATCATTAGACCATTGCTTGCATGCCCTCCGCCACAACTTCACTCACCACTTGTCTGAGGGGGCCTAGCGCTGATGTTGCGGCCGCCGCCATCTTCTCGCCCTCTTGCTCGGAGCGTGTTTCATATGTCTTACTCTCAAGTCGCGTTTCTAAGCTTCGGCCCGGGGCTCGTCCCTTCTTATTCTTATCTCCGCTCATTATCCTTGAAGGGAAAGTCGCTTTTAATGAATTATGTTCTTGAATTGCGGATTAGTTTAGCTATCGATGCAGGAGCTCCTGTTTATGCTGCTACTCTCGCCACCATGACACCGGAAGTCCATCATTAGACCATTGCTGACAGCTGTGTCCGCAAGCCTCCCCAGGCACTGCCTTTGAACCCACTGGACTACACCCCTCCCCTGCAGCTGAGCCGCAAAGCCACATTCCATTGGCACACAGCCCCATTACCCAACTCATGGCCTACTCACGGGCATTTTAACATAACATTCAGGGGTGGCTGTAGCTCAGGTGGTAGAGCAGGCTACCTATTAAATGGGAAGCAGATGAGGATTGGTGGTTCAATCCTCATCTGCTCCAGTCTGTATGCCAAATATCCTTAGGCAAGATACTCACCCCAAGATGCTCTCGGTGCATCCATCAGAATATGACTGTGTGTGAATGTAAGATAGAAGCCCTTACATAGAAAGACCACTGAGAAAAGTGCTTGTGTGAATGGGTGAATAAGGCAAGTTGTGCAAAATGTTTTGAGTGCTCAGTGTAGAAAAGTACTATGTAAGAATCAGTCCATTCAATGGCTGCTGTTTTGTCTATCTGGGGTGCACCTGCCTGCCAGTTAGTACCCCATATACTGTACCTCCCTTCATCTGACCACACACTTCCCGCTGCATATGCTCTGCCCAGGTGTCACTGTGGATGATAACATTATACAGATAGGTGGCAGCCTGTGTAGTGTGCAGACACAGCCCCTGCTGGAAAGTGGCCGAAGCGCCAGCAAGCTGAAAGGAAGGATGACCAGTTGGTACAACCCATACGGAGTGGAAAAGGCCGTTTTCTCCTTGTACTCTGGAGAAAAGGGAATCTGCCAGTAACCTTTGGTCAAATCCATCAAAAATCCATAGACCCATCTTTCTTCAGCCAATTCCTTCTGAACTCTTTACGTTTTGTGTTCAGGTAACCCGTAGAGCTGTGAAACCAGCACCACCCCAGGGTTAGTCTCAAAGTGGTGTTCTATGAGAGCGGTGTAGCTGGGCAGGGGAGACAACAGACACACAACATCTGCTCTCTGGGCCAATGTTAGAAGGTGGTCACAAGGAGAGAGGTGGGAATGGTTGAAGTTGGCACCTCCGGCCAGCACGGTGGCACGGTGGTTAGCACTGTTGCCGCACAGCAAGAAGGTCCTGAGTTCAATTCCACCATCAGGCCGGGGTCTTTCTGTGTGGAGTTTGCATGTTCT